ACAGCGCAGAACTACAATGCTAAAATCAAATAAAGTACTTAACAAATTCAGTCTTTAAAAACACTGAAATTCTGAAGGCTGTGAATGGCCTATAATCCATCATACAAAGCCATGTCTCAAGTGAAGGTTAACTAATCATATTCAGGAGTGTTTATTACAGACATCATCTGGGAAAGTGAGCTTAAGCTGCTAAAAAGCTGTTTATGTAATGGAAGCTTTTTAAGGGCCAATAAAAACAAGTCATAGCACAGAATGAACTCCTCTTGGGTTTAATTCCCTACAAAGCAAACAGCTTCTCAAATTACTCCCACATATTCCTATAAACACTAATTAGTTATTTACACTACCACATCAAACCGGTCACAATAGGGAAGCGGCAGTTAGTGGAACTTTATAGCGACTAAATTAATGGTTTAATTTTATAACTGAACTGTTACAGTGTCAACATCCATACGTAGAAAATTATATTTTCCAGACATGGGTTTGGACCACACTGCTCTCTATTGTTTGCACTCCAGTGAAAAGCCTGTTGAAGGAAATGTTTAGTTGAACATCAGTATGTTACATAAATTATGTAAGGTTGTGTAGTTCCTGATCCTGTATGATATGAAGGTGATATGATACCACCTTTCCTTTTCCAATAGGATATCAATATTGAAACCTTCTGTATTGATTAACCAATCAGATATTTCTTCTTTTAAAAAAACCCTTAAACAGTAAGCATCAAATATGGGCCCACACTCTTCATTCTGCAAGAGCTTGCATGCTTATTATAGTATAAAGCTTTAAAGTGAGGTATTTTTAATTGAAGTACTTCACATAAGATGAGCATCTGAAAGTAGGCTATCATGCCCAAGGTACTCAAACACTGTATACACAGCATCGTACACTGTGAGTGTGCTATTTCAGGGTAGATTTGGGTCAGATTCATTCTTTTGTCCCTCAGATTTCCCGTCCAGCATTTTCTGCTGAAATCAGCCTGATACTGATACATATCAATAGCAATATGCCATCATTAAAATTACAGACAAAAAATCAGGCTTTTAACAATTTTGTGCAAAAGTTTAAAATCCACCTTAATTTTTTTTAAACATTCAGTCAAAACAATTAAGTAAGATAATCCACTTGCATGAGAAAGGGGAAAGACAAAGGTAAATAAGTGAAAAAAACATCAGTTTCCAAAACTGGAGCTCATAAAATTTATTAAAAGATACAAAGAAAAGGAGACTCCTAATAACCATACAAGACCTGGAAGACCAACAACACTGTCACTACCAGATAAACAGTATTTAAGCTTTCATCTTTTAGAGAAAATCAAGCTCCACTCTCATTACAGATCTGAAAAAATCTACATGCATTTCTGTCCATCCTTCCAGTGTAAGAAGACAGTAGCTGTTACTCTGAAATGGAAATAAAACAAAAAAGTGCAAATCAGAAGCTGCTGAAGTTTTTAGAACAATGAACTGACCACCCCAGAGTCCAGACTACAACATAATGGAATGTGTTTGGGATTACTTGGATAAGCAGAAAATCCAACCGACTTCTAAGACTGAACTTTGGAGGTTTGGAAAAACTGCAGATTTTTTGAAAACTGAGCCCAAGCCTCCCGAGAACAATGGAAGCTGTCCAAAGGCAAAGGCTGAACACACCAAGAAATGAAAAACATATATTGGCTTCTGTGTAATTGTTAAATGTGCGTTCCGGCTTTTTCTCTGATGCTGAAAAATGAATACTTTCGTTTAATGGCCATTTTGACTGAAAACTAAATAAGTGAATGGTGGCCCCTGACAGTACTGTAACTGCTACTGTTTTTAGCTATACGGCTTACTTTCATTAATGTTTACAGATTACAGTACATCAGAACAATGGCAGAAACCACATAAGCAAGTCTATTTGAGATTACTTAACAACTTCACACATTTGGAGGAAAGTGTTTGATGATTTAGACATTCAGTTTGATGACATTCATGATGATAAATGGTAGGTTATAAGTTTCCGCTGCTTGTAACTACAGTGAGAAACAAAAGCAGCACTGTTGATCACCAAATGTCTCGGCTGATTCTGTAAGTTTGACTGGTTGCTTAACTATTCCATTACGTTTCTGTCTGTCCATGTCTAACAAAACCAGATTTCCAAACATAGATTATACTTCATTCTATACTGAAATCTATACTACTAGTATAAGACGTTACCCATGGCTGGTAAATGAATCCATAAAGCCACAGTGATAGAAGAAAAGCAGTGTTGGCACTGACTGTAACTTCCCTTCCCCCATGCGACCCATCATGACAGAGGGAGCAGCCGAGGGCAAATGACATGGCACGGTGTGTATTCACCATGTGTGTGAGGTAGAAACTGTGTAGGGGGTCAGGAGCCATGGGTCAGAAACCACCTGCTATGCAGGAAATGTCATTTCCACAATGTTTCAATGTTTGTTCTCAGGTCTCTTCATGGAAACAACTGAGAGGCAGAACAGCAAATCAGAGCAAAAACAGAGCTGATCCAAACACATAAAACACAACACGATCAGAAAACGAGTCTATTTTCAGCTCTGCGCCAAAACAACCAGTTAATAAACACTTGCTGTATTGAGAACAGTTAAATATGCGAAGTCATTACATAAAACAGAATAAAGATGCCAATAAGCAGAGTGTAAACCTACATTGCACTGATCATAGCTTTCCTCACAGAATCATGCCAAGTAAAGAGAAAAAAAAGAATAAAATTTACAAACAAAAAAGCTGCTGTCTCAGAACAACGGACTGACCACCCCAGAGTCCAGGCCTTAACATCATTCAACTTGTTTGAGATTGTATCCTATACAGATCAAAAAAGATGGTTGTTCAAGGGTTCTTTAACAAAGGCAATGGTTCTATTTAGAACTATATAGAACCATTTCATTCTTAAATGGTTCTTTGCATGGTGAAATAGTTCTTCATATTGATGGAGAATATGTTGTATTAGGTCCTATATATGTTACCTGTCAGAAAATGGTTCTATATAGCAACAAAAAGGGTTCTGCAACTGTGACGATGCCAAGCTTGTAACAATGAAAGAGCCCTTTTTGGTGATACATAGAACCATTTTCAAAAAGCTTCTAGATGGAACCATATATAACATATTCTCCATCAATCTAAAGAACAATTTCACCATGCAGAGAAACATTTAAGCATGAAATGGCTTTATAGAGAACTCATGGTTTTAAATAGAAGCCTTGCCTTTACTAAAGGACCCTTGCAGAACCATCCTTTTTAGGTGTACGCGAAGTGGAACAAACAAACATATCCTGCAGATTTCTTCGAAAAGCTGAAAGCAAGCCTCCGAAAAGAATGAAAGCTGTAATAAAGGCCAAGAAAGGATAAAGTAAGGGCTGAAAAATGTGTGATATTTAGTCACTGAGGACGCTGCGTAATTAGTGTTAAATAAACATTTTCTTTTTTCCCCTGACGCTTGTACTGAACGGTCATTTTGACTGGAAATTAAATAAATGCACTGTATGTGCGCAAAAACGAAGAAGAAAGATAAAAGGACAGCACTTTGTTCTTGTAACCGTGTGTGACCTCTGCTGGTGAGCGGCTCTAAGTGAGCGCAACCCCACACACTCAAGTGCTGACAGCACTACAGTAAGTGAGTGTGTGGCAGCACAGTCAAAAGCCCCGAACCACACCACTGCATCACTGAGTACTTCAGTAGATGGAGATCACTTTTTAATAAAGAGAGAGAGGGAGAGGGTGAGAGAGATGTGCATTATTTATGGCTGTTTGATGTGTTGGAAATGCTGAAAAACACCACAGTCATTTCCATCAAGCAGCTGTCAGCTTCCCTCTGAACTGAACAGCTGAAGTGGCAGCATTTTCATTATTTCATGTGTTCGACTTGAATGCTTCCCCACGTTTTCCTCAAGTCTAAGGAAACAGCTTTTAGTGTTATTATCATCATCATTATTGCTATTATTATTACTATTATTATCATTAATATAAGCATCATGCAAACCATAATAACAATGAGGATGATGGTAACAATACAGTAATAACAACAATATAACAGCATTATCGTTGGCAGTATTACTTTGGTATTGGAACTATTAAACCTATGAGGTTGATAAAATAAAACAGTAGTGATTATAACAATATAAAATTATTAATGTTGTGTTATTATGCTATTACAACACTAAGATGGCAGTTAAAATACAGTAATAATACTACAACACAGCAATTTATTGTTATTATTATTATTATTATTATTATTATTAATAATAATAATAATAATAATATCCTACATCTTCTAACTTAACCCTCTGACACACTACAGTATAACTGCACTGGAAAAAACCTGCTCAAATCATTGACTAACAAAAACAGGCAGCTTGGAAAATTCTAATGAGTCTCGAGCTACTTATCAGTTTCTTCATCAAACCCATATGTAGACTGTTCCACAGTTTCAGTGCGAAAGAGGAGCTCTGTGTGCCAGTAAAACTACGAGGGAACTCTCGCCAGGCTCTATTATTCTCACCAACCTCGTTTAATTACAGCAGTGAGCTTAAAAACCGCGACATCACTGGAAAAAACCTTTATTATCAGCTCAGATGAGACACGCAGACTGCTGGAGTGGACTTAAGGAGCGGACAGCGCACAGCAGTAAACAGGACTGAGCTCTCGCTGTAAGAATGTCTGCCGTTAAACTGCGTTAAGCTCCGGATTCTCACATGGACGAATGTGTCTGAACGCGAGCGTGAAAAGTTCATGGCCGTTTTCCAGCGTGCGTTAAAGTAAGAAGCGGATATAATAGGAACCACGATGATCTTACAACAATGAAAACTAACAGTTCGCTTCTTATCGCAATTCAGCTGGGGCTCCACGTGCGGCTGCAAAAGTGAAAACCCAGCGCGTGCTGTCTCTGACCTCTCCACGATTACGCACGCGGAGCGCGGAGCTCCTTCTGCCCTCATCCCCCCGGACTCCACTCCGCGGGAGGTTAATAGAAAACAGGCAGGCGCTTACCGCTCGAGCGCCGCACGATGTTCTCCAGGAAGGTGTTCTGCGGTGCCACCAGGCCTCTCTTTCCGCCGTGCATCCTGCGCGCCGCCGCGAGCGTCCGTGGCCGAACCCGAGCGCGCACACCTGGCCGAAGCTGATCGCGAACGTGCAGTGTGTGTGTGTGAGTGTGCGTGTGTGTGCGCGCGCGTGGTGGACTCGCTCATGGTAACGCTGCGCCCTGCCCGCGCGCCTCGCCCAGCTCCACTGTGGCCCCGGAGCTCCGCCGGCTCCGCGAGCTGCGCGCTCACACACACACACACGAACGCACACACACACACATCCGCCCACCCACCCCCCAACACCACCCCGTGTGCGCGGAACGCGCGTGCGCACTCTGCGCGCGCCGCGGACACGCTAGAGCGCAACAGATGGGAGCTGTCCAGCAGGATCTGGACACTTAGCGGGGATGCATGTGCCTCTCCAGGACAGGCCTGTCAGCGGGACAGATGTCTCTTTAAAATAAAGTGTTTATTAAGCATAATGTTGCCATGTATTGTTCAGTTACGCGTACAAAAGGCGCGGTGGAGGTTTTCCTAAAATAACAGAAGACTTTCTGCTTGGCTCAGTTCATTAAGCGCTAAAAAGTAGCATTTGCTTTAAAAAACGGTCCAGATGGAGAGCTGTAGCAGCTCTGAACACCGTGTGCGCATTTATCACCGTTAACCCATTAAAGTTTATTATACTTATTGGAGTTGTAAGGATCTAAACCTGTCCGTTGCCTAAAAACCTGCAGAGTTCAGCTGGACTGTAGTGCACGTTTAAGATTCAAATTATAAATAAGCCGTTGCTGTCGCAATACAACCAATTCAAAACAACCTGCGGTGAAGTCAGTGGAGAACTTATACACGTCGATGGATGGACAGATGGATGAAGAGATGGATGAATAAAGTAGGACTGAGGCATGACTGAATGAAGGCACAACCTACATGGAGAAATGAATGAATGAATGAATTAATGAATGTACAAATGAATGAATGAATGGATGAGTAAATTGATGGATGCATATTAAGGCTGAATGAAAGCACAGCCTAAGTACTCAGATGAATTAATGAATTAATTAGTTGAATAAATGAATGAATGATGGCTGTATGGGTAGTTGAATGGATGGATGGATGGATGGATAGACGAAAGCAGAGACATACATGAATGAACGAATTAATTAATGAATGATGGACGATGGATAGATAAGTGGATGAACAAATAATAGCATAACTGAAGGAAGGTACAGCCTAAATGAATAAATGGATGAATGAATGAATGAACCAATGAATGAATGAATCAATGAATCAATGAATGAATGAACGCTGGCTAAACAGAGGGGTGTTTTGGATGGATGAATGAATGAAGCTGACTGAATGAAGGCATGGCCTAAATAGAGTGATGAATGAATGAATGAATTATTGATTGAATGAATGATGGCTGAATGGGTGGGTGGATGGATGGAAGGATGAAGGCAGGGACTACGTGGAGAAATGAATGAATGAATGAATGAATGAATGAATGAATGCTGGATAAACAGAGTGGGTTAGATGGATAGGTTGATGAATGGATAAGGGGACAGGCAAATATATGGATGTAGAAATGGATGGATGAATGAATGAAGTTATGACTGAATGAAGGCACTGCCTAAATAGAGAGATGAATGAATGAATGATGGCTGGTTGTATGGATGGATGGATGGACGGACGGACAGACGGATTGATGAAGGCATCCCTTATATCGAGAGATGAATGAATTAATATGGGATGGATTAATGGATGAAGGAATCAAACACAGAACACTGGATAAAGGAATTTATGAACAAATGGACGGATAGATGACGGCGCAGCCTAAATGGAGAGATAAAGGCATGAATGTGTGAATGAATGGCAGAGAGGGCTCGCGGATTATTTTAAGACTGAACTCAGAGTCCTGAAGATTGAAGTGCTCCAACTGCAGGATTACTCCTCCCTCCTCCTCCCTCTCTGGATTCCCCTGCTGAGTGGGACAGAGCCCCCATTGTTCCCAGCCCACCGCTGCCTAATATGGACTTGACCAGCAGCGGAGCCGTGATTTCCTGAGCGCGGTCATGGCGCGCGGAGAGCCGCATGAGCGACGCGTGAGGAGAGCGCGCGCGAGGACGCGAGATGAGAGCGGGGCGCGTGGCTGCCAGTTCGTGTGAACGCGCGTGCGAGCGACAGCGCCGGCTGGCTGGCTGGCTGGCTGGCTTAAAGAGCGCGAGCTTAAACGCGAGGAAGAACGAACAGCTTTAAAACAGCAGCCGAGAAAAGAGAGTGGATTGTGCCCCGGCGAGGAATTAAAGTGCCCCGGTGCGGACCGCCATGCCTGCGCGCGGGAGGCGGAAAACCCCAGCGGCGGCGGCGACGGCGGCGGTGGTGGAGTCTGGAGGGGAAGGCGGAGAAGCCGCGGCAGCTAAAAAGATGTTGAAGTGCGTGGTGGTCGGGGACGGAGCGGTGGGGAAAACGTGTTTGCTGATGAGCTACGCTAACGACGCCTTCCCTGAGGAGTACGTGCCAACCGTTTTCGACCATTACGCAGGTGAGCTCAGTGTTTTCTCTCGCTATGTGGTGGACGGAATAGAGGTCAAGACAGGCCGCTTTAAGTGTAGCTTAGTGTAGCGCTCCCTCCTTCACTTCCCCGCCACAGCTGGGGCAGGGGCCCGAGAACAGAAGCTGAAACAGGAGCTGTGTGTAACTACCACACCGAGGACTAAGGCCTGGCAGGAAGAAACAACAGCTTATCAACAGCTGCTTTTACAATGGCTAACCGTTTGATAATACGTCAGACTTGTAGTAAACTGGAGTGCAGCGGAGGCTAAACGGTACCTGTTGATTTCTAATCGCAAAGAGAGATTGTGAACGTGTCATACACCAGAAGCCAGTTTCCTAGATCTAGATTAAGCCTAAACCTAGTGTAAAAATAAGTTCCAGTGGTAATTCTGAACTGACATGGCAGTTTACTCCAACACTGGGCTTAAGCCATTTCCAGCGAACCGGTCCTTTATGCTCAAAAGTATACTTCAAATCTGTGAATTCAGCTGCTTTAAGGTGCACCCATTGCAGAGTTCAGTTGAGCTCACACAGCTTTTATAATCTACACAGAGTATTGCCAATAGAACGGGAAGCTCTGGAACAGCCACACAAAAGCCTATGGTCAACACGCCCTCCCAATGATAAGCATCAGCTAGTGTAAATGTGTTCTCCTGAATGAAGGAGCTCCATCCAGTATCTTTGGGATGAGTTAGGGTGGCGTTTGTGATCCAGAACTCATCATCCAACATCCTGACCTCACTACTGCTCTTGTGGCTGAGTCCAATCAAATCCTCACAGCAATCTTCCAATACCTAGTGTAAATTCTTCTCAGAAGAGTAGAGGCTACAAAGGAGGGACAAACTCCCTATTAATACCCTTGAATTCAGAAGAAATTCTGCATGAGCCGGTGCTCATGCAGCTGAGATGAAGCGCAGTGGCTACAGAGTTAGATAACTTTACTGTAACAAAGTTATACAAAAATAAATAAATAAATAAATATCTCATGTACAAAGAAGCACAAGGCTTTGGTGTTATCTGCAGGGGAAAACCCCCTCTGTGATATCACATGAATGCTCTGAGAATCCTCTCAGGGTCAGCTCCCAATTACACAGTGGAGCTGAGGTCAGGCAGACATCCTCTTTTAAAAGAAACACAACACATGGGGAAAGCTGGGCCGAACATATTCTTCCAAATAAGAGCCATTTAAAAAAAAGGTGTGGGTTCAGATGTTCAAGTTTGTTGTGTTCTTTGCAGAAGTCAGGCTACTTTTTGTTGTGTAGTGCTGTATATTTTACAGTATTCACAACATAGAAATCAGAGGAGTATAACAGTCAACTTCTCTTGTTATTAATACCTTGAATATGCTTATTTCTCAATTGTTACTGTTACAGTTCATTATTCAGTTGCTCTTGTATTATTTTGATAACTACTATGTAACTACTATAAATGTAATATATACGTTACGTAGTTATAAAACAGTGAGGAACTGAAGTATGGACCTGCCGACAGATCTTAAGGGGTTAAAGCATGTCATGTTGGTTACTTTGGTTTTGGACACTTTAGTTGCTTAATTTTTTGAAAGTGAGTGAGTGGGTTTGCTTTTTCTGGTCATTTCCTTGTTTGTTAGTGGCACTGCTGGAAAAAGTGACATCACCCTTGGAAAAAGTTAATTTGGCGTGGAAAAAAAACAGTGAATGGACAAGCTTTTCACAGCTTCCTCTGCAAAAGAGATCTTTGCCAAAACAATGTATAGACTTCAAATTATAATCCCATAGCCTCTTACTGGAAACAAATGTATTGGTTTAAGCAGTTTGGCTTAAACCAGGTGACTTTTATGACAACGTTTAATGTCCACTAATGAGCCAGAAGGCTTTCTTAAGTCTCGAGTAGTAGGGGAACTTATTGGAGAAAGAACAAAGCTTGTGATTGAATGCCTTGCTTTCTCAAGGGGACAAAAGCTGATCATTAGAAACTACACCTTTTTGACACTAGAAAACACCCACAATTACTCTAATAACCTTTTAGGTACACAAAAATCTAATTTACACAATTGTCGCTTATTTAGAAATCAAATTTACACAATTATCCCTTATTTGCACTGGACTGCAAGGCTAACATAGTCAATATGTAGTTAAAAAAGTGTGTTGTCACTAGTTAGTATTGTGGAATCTGCATGTCTGTCATCAAACACTTTCCTCAAACCATATTGAGTAATCTCAAATAGGCTCTATCGTGTAGTTTCTAACACTGTATGCCATACCGTATATCTATAAAATAGAAAAGCACAAACATATGACTGCTACTGCTAATTAATAGCTATGTTGCAAAATTTTATTTTGTCTTTTCTGTCATTTGACCATTTTACGTAAATTTGATTTTTGACTGAAACATTGCTTTAACTCCGTAGTGTTTTCCTGCTCTAACACAGCTGATTCAATTAATGAAAGGACTGTTAACTGAAGTGATTAATTTAGGTGACGGGAACAAAGAAAGTGCTCATCTAGTGCTGTAACACATGGCCTAGTCCACGAAAGATATCTCCCTCAATTTATCATCAGGTTCACAATGAGCTGAACTACACTGTGACCTTCTAGAAATGTAATTGTACAGTTATGACTTAGAATATCTAAGACTAAATCTACAGAGCCTCAGCTCCTTATCTCATGGGGAGTGATGAGCAGACCACATGTCCACAAGAAATTACACAATGACTTTCACTCCAGATGAAAACACAACTAGGTAATGTTAAGCAACTCAACCGTCTAGATTGAACCGTGCCTCTCACTCAAATGGAAAGAATTTACATTTTTATTTACATTACAGCATTTAGCAGACACTCTCATCCAGAGTGACTTACAAAACGTACTTTGTCTATCTAGAGAAAGTACCTTTGCTAGTTACAAACAGGTTAGAGAGAAAGCTAGTCCTGAGCTCAGATAGTGCTAGAAACAAAAGCTCATGTTGATACCTAGAGAATAAGGTTGGTAAAAACATGTATATCATCACTGTCAGAGCAAAACGTCATATCTCCATTTTTGTTTTTTTCATTTTTCTTACATAGTGTGAAAATGCCAGCTTCCATTTACATTGTGTCAAAATTTCATGATGAATGGACCAATAGAAGCAGTCCAAGTTGACTTAGAATAAAATCTTACACTAACAAACATTAACAATGTTTTTTTCTTTTGCTGAAAAGTTAATTTTTGAAAAAAAAAGAAAAAAGAGGTTTTGCTCTGACAATGGTGATATATTTATCATACATTAGAGAAAAAAGTTGCACATTGCACTGTAGAAGAGATTGTTATAGTTTACTCCACTCTGTGGCTACTGGGGGACAGAAAGCCGGAAGTTCTGAATAATGGAGGCCCCAGGAGATTATTTTAATTGGTTCCTTTACCGTGCTTTGGCAAACAGATGTGACTTCACTGCAAACGTTTAACGTCTCTGTTGTAAAAAAGTTATGATCTCTTAAAACCTCACTATTGATCAACATGACGTGTGAGAGCTGATGTGTAGGCAAGCTCATACATCTTGCATATGTTTCTGGCACAGTGTACTAAACCTTTGTCAAATTCTCTTACAGCATGTAAACTGCTACATGCATCTGTGGTGTGTTTGGGATCGCTAGTGGTGAAGGACTGTTCTCATTTGCCCTACACAAATGTCAGCCTGCTCATATATAGTATGTTTCAAACATTTATGAACACATATGTGTGAGCTGTTGTGAGAAAAGAAAAAGAGCAAGAGTCTGAGAGAAAAGGGAAAAGAAAAGTGAGAAAGAGAAGAGAAGGAACATTCTTCCAGCTCCCGCAGCAGAACTGAGTGAAAACACAAGGCCAATCAATCGTTCCCATTCAGCTTTGGCCCCACCAGTCTCTCCACATGGAGAGGGCCTTTACACAGCATCATAATAAAGAGGGCGAATTGTCACACAGTGCCTTAATGTCGAGGCAAAAGAGCACAGAGCTCGTATTGTATGGCACTGAAAGGGCCTCACTGTGTTACTACGGCAGAATTAGTGTTAAATGAAAAACGGTCATTTATTCTGGTTGCAGTGGAACAGTAACTGTAGGAATTGCAATAGCCCACATTCTTTAACACTTGGTGGGATGCATGCAGCAATGCAGATACATTCTGCTCAAATGTCTTGGTGCCTCACTGACCTTTGAGCCTCATGACCTTCTCAAACACATCAAGTAGTCTGTTGAACAATTACAAATAAGTAGGGTTATTATTCAATTTTTTACTACTGACTCCTGAACAATACTTTTTTGGGGTCAATTCGTTTAAACTACAAACAGAAAATGGGTGTGGCTTAAACCAAAAATGAGTACGATATGCTGGAAGTGGGTTTATTTACAGGCCGTGACATTAAATACACGCATAGTCAAAGTAATTTAGACGTTCTATTGCCAGTCTAGATTTTGGAACAAGCATGCTTATTGGTTCACAGATGCTAGTAGGACTAATAACTCTGGTATTGAAATTTAGTGGGGTTTTTTGATACGCTTCTTTTGCACTGACCAGTCCCAGGCATTGACACATAGTGTGTTTGTCCATGGAGTGCAATCAGATGCCATGTGTGTTTGTTTTCTCCACAGTTAGATCATATTGCTGGCCAAAGCCAGGCAAATTTAGTCTCTGCAAGATGTATACAGAGGCCTTTAGTTTCATATAAGCCTTAAGGCTCAACGTTGCATTGTTTTCCATGTAATTACTGAATAAAATGCCTTAGGATGGAACAAGCCTACAATTTTTGGTGGGTAAATGAATAATATGCCTGAAGTTTAAGGGGTTCATTTTGCAGACTTATTAGCAGTACACCAATTTCCAGTTCATGGCACTCATGGGCTTCCTCGCTCTTGTCATGCCCTGCGAAAGATGTAGGTTTAGACCTCCGCCGGTAACCGAGGCTGTGGTTTCCGTCCACAAATCCCATTGGATCAAAATTCCTTCGTCCAAAACAAACAGATCACATTCCCGGTCTGCGACACAGAGCCTGTTAAT